AACTACTGGGGTAGGACTGTAGTTGCTGCCATGGGAGGAGGGGTGCGTGTGGTGCGATATTAAGCAGTAACAGCAATTTTTGAAAAGATTCCCTGGGCTAGGGAAGGAGAATAGAGAAGGATATAAGAAAAGTCTGCAGCAAAAATAGAAAAAAACTTCATGGCATCATATTAAGTGAGAAGATAGATGTAAAATTCTATCTCTAATATTATTATAGAATATCCTGGGGTGCTTTGTTGGACATATAAATGAGGATTATAAAGTAATATGAACCAATACAAGCACTGATTTGATTAGATGATGAGATTGTAGACAATTCTCACCTTGAATTTCTATGGTCATTTTAATACTATTATTTCAATAAAGAGGTGTCGCTTTAAAAAAAAAAGGAAAAGCTCCTGGGAGTGCCCTCACTTCCTCTACCGTCCCCTTCCCGGTCAAGGCCCAACCAGGGGCACTCAGAGTTTGTTATAATCCGTCCCAAATTGGTCTCTGGCCCTTCAGTCTCCCCTGGTACAAATGCATCTTGCCCCAGACCGGCAGGTCACTCTCCTGCTTTGCGACCATCCTACTGCCCCATGGTCCATCCAAGCAACCTAAACTCCTCCCTTTGGCTTTGAAAGCCTCAGTAATCTGGCCCCAAATTGGCTCTTCCTTCTCTTCAGCACCAGCCCAGAGTCCTGTGAGCCCATACATGGTTGTAAGAAGAACGCCATTTCCAGCAAATCAAAGTTAAAAATGGCAAAGAAAATGTTCCCCTAGTATCATGAAAACTCACTGTTTTAAATGAATGTTTGAAATGTTTTCTTTGAAATATCTTTAAAAGTCTCAGATTTTTCTAGATTGGCTTTCTGTTTCCTATAAATCCAAATACAGCTTCTACTCCTGCTATTTCTGATAACTAATATATTCCTCCAATTTCATTTTAGAAGCTGGAGAAAGACACTTAGTTCAAATATCTAAGTCTATTCAGCAAGCATGTCCAAAATAGCTTTATTGCAGATCAAATCATGTTAAGTATCATAAAATAAATCCTTCCTTCCCATGGGTCTTTGTTTATTAGAGATCATGAAGAATCTAAGCACCCACCTTGGGAAGACCACCGCACTCTGCACCGTTCACCCCTTGGGGGAATTCTGCCCTTGTCAGAGCCTTCATTTCCTATGGAGACTTGTGCATGGCTTCCACCCCTCCACACCAGCCTGCCATGCTTCCTGTCTCCGTACCAACCAGATGAGAAGCCCTCGATGGGCAAAATTCTTGTCTCAACCTTCTGTGTGTCCTACACAGCTCAAAACCCAGAGCTAGCTACGTAGTTCTCACTCTGTTAGTGCCCTCGGAACTGATTTGATTTGATATTATTGTGTTGATCATTATCATGACGGAAAAGCATTTATCACACCCCATATATGTATATGCTTCCCCGAGAAGTGTGCCTTGGTAGAGAGAGTGCTTGTTTGACAGTCAAAACACACGAGCTTGACTTCTGGGTCTGCTATTGTGCGTCATGAAAGCAATCACGTCACTCTTTGGGCTTTGGTTTCAGTGAAGACACGTGTGTTAGTTTTCTATTGCTGCCCTAACAAATCACCACGAACTTAGCAGCTTAAACGAGCGCTTCCTTATTATTCGACAGTTCTGCAAGCCAGAAGCCCAGCATGGCACGATAGGGCTCGCATGAGGCCAAAATCAAGGTGCCTGCATGCAGCGTTCTCCTCTGGGGCTCAAGATTCTCCCCCAAGCTCATTCTCATCACTGGCAGAATTCAGTTCCTAGTGACCGAAGGTCTGAGGTCTCCATTTCCTTACCGGCCATCAGCCAGAGGCTGCCTTCAGCGCCTGGAGGCTGCCCACATTCCTTCTCTCATGGCCCCCTTCGTCTCAAAACAGCAACAGCGTGCTGAGTTTTTTTCATGCTTTGAATCTCTCTGACTCCCTCTTCTTCCACCAGCCTGAGAAAGTTCTTTGCTTTTAGGGGCTCGTGTGACCAGATTAGGCCCATCCAGGTGACGTCCCTGTATTAACGTCATCTGTGCCATGTAACGTAACACTGTGTGGCAATATCGTCACCCAGGCTTCAGTGATTAGGGGGTGACATCTTGGGGGCCGTTCCTAGAAATTCTACCTACCGCAACACAGCAACATGGGGGTTCGATAAGGTGATTGATCAGGTTCTTTCAGACTGAAATTGCCAACTGGTAATCACCGCTGACGGCACCCTCTGGCGTGGTCTCCTGATTTTCCTCTGTCCGACTTCGTGTTATCTCCTCCCTTATCAGCAGATGCTGCCAGGCCAGAGCCTCTGCTCTCCTTCCTCAACCATCCAATCCTTCCTGATCTCTCCCCTCACCCCTGCAGAGCCAGAGTCAGCACCTTCCTGCCCTCACTTCTACTTTATACTTCCGGTTTTAGCACCACTTGAAGCAGTTTTACATTCCTTATTTCTTCTTCCCCTCAAAATTCTGTGAGTTAGGCGTGATCATTCCCATTTGGTAGATTAGAAAACTGAGGTTCAAAGAGGTTAAATATCTAGCCCGAGATTAAGCAAAGATTAAGTGGTGAGACAGAGCCACTGACCTTCCAGCTTCCATGCTCTTCCCGCTTCCCACCAACGCAGCGTGTGACCAGAGCGGGGGGAGAAGAGAGAGCACCCGTTTCCCCTCTCCTTGAGCTCCACCTGAAAATGAGATGGAAACTGAAGCAGTTCTGCCTAAGGTCTGCAAGCTGGGTGTGATGATTCTGCCAGATAACAGAAGCTCCTTGGTGACAATGTACCCATTCATTTCACTTCACATTGGTCAGAGTGGTAAATTGTAAGTCTTTTGACCCCAAATATTGGGAGCTCCTTCCCTGCCCCCGAGAGCATATTTGGAGAGCAATTTGGCAGTATTGAGCAAATCCGAGGCAAGCGTCCCCAGACCCAGCGATTCCACCGCTGGGCATGTGCCCTAGAGAACTTCCCAGCATGTTCGAAGGCGATACTTGTCAAAGATGTTGCATCAGTATTGTTCGTAATCAGAAAAAAATAGAAACTGCCTCAATATTCATCAGCAGGAAATAAATGGTGATGTGTTTGTGGAATGGAATACTATACAGCCATAAAAATGAATCAGAGCTGTATTAATAAATATCAACACATGATCGGGGTTTCGTTCCTTCAGGCCATGTTTTATTTCTTATGCAAGATGACGTTCACAGTAATCGCTTTTTAAGGCTTTTTTCATGTGTGAAATATTTCATGATAATGATTAAACTAACAAATAATAACCACCAGAGGCATTCTCATCACAAAATTGTAAGTGGAAAAAGCAGGAAACAAAATTGAATACGTGCTATACTCCCAATGTTGTAAAAACAGAATAAATCAAAAGAAAAACAAATACAGATTTTTGTAAAAGACCTGTAGATAATACACCAAAACTGTTAGAAGTCTGAAAATGATTTTTATTCTCTTCTTTATGCTTAACACTTTATTATATCTTTCAAGTTTTTATAGTGAGTACATATTGCTTTTGGAATCAAAATCAAATATTGCTTTTCTTTGAACACATATTTATTCACCCTAGGCACCGGGGTATGATACATTTTAGCCTGAAATCAGGGGAAAATAAAATTTATTCAAAGGCTACGGTGGGCCATCTTTGCGCTGTCCCTTAAAGGAACTGTTCACATCAAGCTTGGAGTCTGACAGATCCAAGTTCAAGTCCCAGCTCCACCCCTCCCCAGCAACTGACTTGGGTCTCAACTTTCTTATCTGTAAAATGGTAATAAAATACCTTCCCTGATTGCCTCACGGGGCCATTGTGGGGGAGAAATCAGACGAGGGTCACAGAATGGCTTTGTGACCCACAGCCAGCCCTTCTGTGGCAGCACGACAGCTACCTCACGACAGACCAGGCTCTAGACCAGGACAGGAGGGCCGGGTTCCTCAGGGCACCCACAGTGTACAAGAACAGACGGCACTGTCAGCAGACTACGCAGGGGAATGGGTCATAGTGCCCCCCGACTGGGGGTGGTCCAACTGAAGGGAGCGATATTATTACTACATAAATAGGAGGGTTAACTTTTGTCCTCAAGCAACTCAAAATATACTTCTAGAAACCAGGCAAACACATCTCAAACAGTATACGAACACATGAAGGAGGAAAAGCATAGCTTAGCTTAGAGTCCTGGCTCCCTGGCCCCCTAGGGAGGTGATGGCAGATGTGGACAGGCGCACAATCTTTCCAGCCCAACTCTCCCCGCCTGTCGTAGGGAGAATCGCGCACATCTCGGGAGTCCTGCCGAGAGGACTGGCTGAAGCACCTCTCCTGGACGGGGCAATGTTCTAGGAGCTGGGGACACAACAGGGGACCAACCAGGCAAGGCTGCTGCCCTCGTAAGTGTAACTCTCTAAAGGAGAAAACACAGGGCAGTCGCTCAGCAGGGAGTCCGACATGGTGCAGCCACTAAATGTCTGTGCTGGCGGCAGGCATGACTGTGTTATTAGGAAACGGTTTACGGCAGCCTGGAGAGGCTGAAGGGAGGTAATGAGAGTTTCCAGAGAGTTGAAGTGCTGTTGGAGGGAATGATGAAGCTACCGTTCACTGAGTGCTCCTTGTGTAATAACTCACTCAATCTTTGCAGCAACCCGGTGGGGTGGGTACTATTATCATCCCCATTTAACAGGTGAAGAAACTGAGGCACGGATCAAGGCAATGGCTTGTGTTATTGCACAGCCGTAAAGCCAGGATTTAAAAACCAGTTGGTTTGCATCACTCTGCTGTCTCTCTGCAGATTGGTGGATGCCCGGGGCAAGCTGGCCTTAAGAGCTCAGAGCTTCTTCTGGAAGCCGAAATTGCTGACACTTCAGGTGGTCGAGCCGTGGCATCTCTGAATGCACTCATGGGGCGATTCCTGACAATATCAGATGAATGGATCTTTCCACAGAACAGGCAGTGCCCAGCGCCCTGGTGGCAATGCTCTGAGATGCTATGAGTGACTTCCTCTTGTCTCTTTCAGGTCACAGCCCCACACTTCCCCGTGGTGATCAAGCTGGGACATGCCCACGCTGGAATGGGAAAGGTATGAGATCAGCCCTCACCTCACAGTGGATATACCGACAGATTCCCCGGTCTACCTGTTCCCCCACCTCTGTCCCCACCTCAGCACAGGCGCCCAGAACAGCATGTTTAAAAGAACCCACAATACGTCTCCCTCCCCTTCCCGACTGTTAGGTCTGTCTGTGTGGATGTTCCCTGGTCCCCTGGTCCTCAGTGTCAAGAATGAGTACTGGCATGATGTCAAGCCAATGACGAGTGATCACAAACACAGAGCAACTTAATACTAACAGTTTATCACATAAAAGAAAGAATGAAAGTAAAGGAAGCTACACAAAGGGAAAACACGTTCCAGAAAGAGTGAAACAGGTCAGTCTCCACGAGTGCAGAAAGACACTGGAGGGTGAGCATGCGCCGCCTTTTATAAGCTCCCTGGTTTGTCCCGCCTTTCCCCTGGCAGGATTGGTTGCTGTTTCCCACCTTTGGGGGTGATTGACAGGTTGGTGTTACATACCACATCACATGGCAGGTTACATAACAGGGTAGGTTATGTAACAGTTTCCTTCCTGCCCATGTGTCTTTTCTAGAATTCTCCATGAAGCTCCACCCATGTCATGCTAATTAGATGGTAATGAGCTCTAAGTCAGTTAAAGGTTACTAGGAAATTTTTATTATGGATGTTCCCACCAGGGAACAGTTCCTAGCTGCAATTTGGTTCCCAGTACAGTTTGGTTCCTGCTGTCCTCCCTTAGCCACCTCCTTGCCAGCTGTTTACCATCCACCAGACCTAACACAACCACCTTCCTCAGAGCTCCTGTTGCACGGAACATCCCTCCAGCTGTTCTGTGCTTGGCAGATCCCCCCTGGAATTGCTAGTTAATCATTCTCCATGATCGTGGCTTAAGAGAAGTGATGTAAAGCATGTTATAGACCCTGATCTTTTGTGAGGGGTCGCTGTCATCATCTCCACAGCCTTACTCATCTCTTTACCACCTGCCCGGCTGGCACCTAGAAAGAGGCAAATGCACATGGCTCCATGGGAGAAGCCCCTGGAGTCAGTTAGCTTCTGCAAAAGTAGATAATGTATTTTACAGTCACAAATGACGTCCTGACAAACTGTATTGGTCAGACTCTTTCAGTGGCAAGTGTCCAAACCCAAGTCACATTAGAGAGAAAAAGATAATTCATTGGTTCAAGAGATCAGAGTGTCTGAGATGGTTCTTGATAGGTTTGGGCAGAGCTGGATGCAGGAGCTCAGGCGAAAAGGTTGGTTTCGGTCTCGCTCTGTCTCTTGGCTCTGTTCATCCCTACCTGGCGTTCCTTCAGAAAGCCAAAATGGCTGGGAGCCGCCCACCCTGGTCCCTAAGCTCGCAGAGGAATAAAGACCTCTTTCTCTCCAGCATCTCTGTGTCTAACCTCATGGAACCGCGTTCAGGTTAATGTGCCAGCTCCAACAAGGGAATGCACAGGTGATTAAGCCTCAATCAAACCATCTGCCCCACAGGAAAGGGAGAGTCTACTCCTACATAGGGGTGCAGGAGTGTGGGGCGATTTGGGGGAATTTGGGGGAGGCTACCACAGTCCACCTCTGTGCCATCCCCATTCGAGGGACCTGAGCCCAACACGACATCCCGCCCAGTGGGCTCTAGATAAAGTGCAGCAGGGGCTAAACAGTGTGGGATCGAGTAGAAACCTCGCTGTGAATAGGCCCACCCAAACATGACAATTCTGCACCTCACTCTGTGGTCTTCCCCACCCCATTATGTCTTCTGCATCATCTCCTCCCACCTAAACTCTATCTGTTTTGGCAGCAGACAAAGGAAAGGGCCAGGCAGGTGGGGGCATGACCCACAGCTCTGATGTGTGTACCATCTAACTTCGAATGATGATAATTCTAGTAACTGTCTTTAAAATGAATCCTCCCTCCAGACTCCATCTCCCTAGAAAGTACACACAATGAGGACAGGGGGTTCTGCCGGGCACACAGGAACCCCTCATTTCTTGGCTGGGTGGATAAATGAGTGAACCCCTCTTTCACTCCCACCATAAGTCTGTCTGTTCCCCAACCCCTCTCCGCCCATTCCCTCCTCCATCCTGCATACAGCCCCAGCTTCTTCCACTCTACTGAAGCCACCCTCCCTGTTGTCCCCAACGATCTTCTGTCCCTAATTCAGCAGGCACATTTCTACCCTTAACAGAATCGACCTCTCTCTCTCATTTAAAGCTGTCAGCCATCCCTTCTGTCCCCAAACTCTCCCTCCAGTGCATGCTCCCCTCCCAGGTTTCCTCCTCTCTTTCTCTGGCCACTCCTCATGGTCCCCTTCAAGGACTTTTCTTCCCGCGCCATCCCTAACCAGGGCTATTCCACCTGCACACGCTGTCCAAGCACCCTTCTGGACTCCCTTGGCTTCAGCTGCCATCCACTCACCAATAGCACCCAAGTCATATTGCCTCTCAGAGCATCAGGCCTGTGTAACCAGTCACCTCCTGCACATCTGCACCTGGCTCCCAGAGAAACCTCAGGCTCTACACGTTCCAGAGCAGGCCCATTAGCTCCCCAGACAGTGACTCTCTATCCTCCTCCCTCTCCTCCTCCTCCTCCTCCTCCTGTGACTTCCATCTCTGTGGCAGGAACCACCAGTCACTCATTTGCCTCAAAACAGAAACCTTGGAGTCATCTCCCCCTTCTCCATGTCCAAATGGTCCCCAAGTCTTGTCCATTGTCCCTTATCAATGTTTCTCTAACCTGTCCCTTTCTCTCTGCCCACTGCCACCTTCTTGGGCAGCTCAGGTAAAGCCAGAGGGTTCCCAAGAATTAAATTCTGTCTCTTAAGTTTAAAATCATCCCCAACAGGACATAAAATGAAGGAAATACTTGTAGAGATCAATGCCATGCTCAGGGGAGGGGGCGTCTCTGAGAAACTCAGGCCCAAAAGGGACTCCCAAAATGTGGAAAAGAGGGCACGTCTCCAAGAATAAAAATTGCCACCGATCGGAATAAACTGAGGTTTGCAAAAATGCTGAGATCAAGGGAAAAGGACTTTTCTCTCCTTAAGTCTGGAATGAGAAAACTTGCAGGAACAGTCTGGACACGTTGGCTGAGCAAATGATGTCATGTTTATGGCTGAGAGGGAGGAAAACAAGACTGGTCCCTCCTGTGGTGTATCCACCTCCTCTCCAGAAGGAGTATGATCTGTCTGGAGATAAGCAGGGAGACCATGCCTAGAAGAAAACTCACAAGGAGGCTGTCGGTGAGCTCAACATTGCTTGAACTCCACCCAGGACCTTGGGGTGCCATCACCGGCCTCCCTCAGTTACACTTTACTCCTCTGTCCCTACGCATTGACTGGTGCCTGCTCTAAGCTGAGAATCAGGAGAGCAGTAGGACCCTGCCCTTGCCTTCAAGGACTCCAGGAGACAGTCACATGAATAAATAAGTAGAATGTGTTATGGGGGGCCTGGTGGAAGGCCGTGCAGACAGGGTGGGGCTCAGAGGAAAGATCCTAATCCCGTGTAGGGTATGAGAAGATAGAAAAAGCATCCTAGGAGAATGGAGGCTTGAGCTGGAGAGACAGGCAGGGGGCCTGCAGTGGACAAGGCTGCCAGGGAGAGGAGCAAGAGCAACTAGTGAGCTGAGACCTGTGGCACAGGGCCCTGCGCAGGCTGGTGTGCCTGGAGACCGAGGGAGCCCTAGCAAACACGGAGGACAGAAGGCAGGAGACGGACCGATCCCCCCTTGGATCAAAACAAAAAACAGTGATGTCACAAGGCACAGACATCAAAATAAATAAAATCGAGTACAGCTCTTTGCAGTTGGGGGGGTGCTTGTACCAGAGGGCCACACGCACAGGGAACGCTGTGAGACCTTTAGAAGCCAGTCAGATTAGATAAGCGGGAGGGAGAGGTTCTGCCCCCGCAAAGGGGCATTCGGCCATGTCTAGAGGCAATTTTAGTTGTTATAACTTGAAGGGGGGGCGCTGTTGACATCCACCAGGTAAAGGCCCAAGATGCTGCTAAACATCCCACAGTCCATAAGACAGCTTCCCACAGCAAAGAATTATACCATCCAAGTCCATCCAAGTCCAAAGAATTATACCATCCATGGATCCCCTTATCTGTGGGGGAAGCGATCCAAGGCCCAAAGTGGATGCCTGAAACCTCCAATAGTACCGAGCCCTATAAATACTATGTTTTTTGCTATACATGCATACCTATGATAAAGTTTAATTTCTAAATTGGCATGGTACTCTTGGGCTTTCGGGCCATTATGAAATAAAATAACGGTCACTTAAACACAAACACAGCAGTACCTCGAGAGTTGATCTGGTAACCAAGATGGCTACTAAGTGACTCCCAGGAGGACAGCGTACATAGTGTAGAGATGCTGGACAAAGGGGTGATTCGTGTCCCAGGTGGGATGGACAGGGATGGTGCAAGATTTCATCACACTACTAAGAATGGTGAGCGATTTAAAACTTAGGAATTTGAATTGTTTATTTCGGGAATTTTCCATTTAACATTTTCAAACTGAGGTTAACTGTGGATAACTGAAGCCACAGATAAGGGGGGACTACTGTAGTGTCAAGGATGAGAAACCCTGAAAAAACTAACTTTATTTCCCTTATTGACAGTTTTACCAGACTAGAAACCAGAGGAAGCAGTGGTGATAATAGTTCAACATGTTTCAAAGTAGGTTCCCAAGAATTGTAATTATTCAGGATGCTAAAGTCTATTTTGGTCATGTAAGTTTGGAAAACTCTGTGTTGAAGGAAGTTTTTAGTGCAGAACTTCTCAGAGTCATAAATTTGGTCATACGTGTTGTGGGAGTACAAGTACAGGGAAAAGTAAGCAGAAATTCCCAGATTTATCTGACCCCAGAAATGTTTAACCATTTTTTATAGTGATGGTTGTTCTTTTATTAATTTGTGAGAACTCTTCACATACAAAGAACATTCATCCTTTGTCATCTTTGCAACTATTTTCCCCTTTTAACAATTACACATCCATCTTGTTATTCAGTTGTAG